CAGTGAGCTGGGCTGTGTCCGGGACTGCTGCTCCCTCGAAGGAGGAGACACCTAGATAGTTGCGTGCAAGCCTTGTGCCTCTGCTGTGTCCTCGTGCGACATGAGTTTCAACTCTGACCCATAATGCTAACACCTTCAGAAACAAAGCAGAAACGTTTCCAACCTTTGTGCTAAATGGGAGCTTGTTTGCTGGGTAGAGTTGGTCACCTGCTTCGTTAGGATGGGAGGAGACTCTTGTCGATGGAGAGGACAGATGATCCCTCAGCCCTCTGTGCTGAACGAAGCTCTGTGGGGAGAGAACAAGTATTTTGCTACATATAAATCCTACAAGTCGTGAGGATTTGTTTTACACGTGTCCCTCATTACAAGGTTCATGGGCTCTCCCTGTCTCTCACATGGTAGCTAGGCTGGATCAGAGGAGATGGTCTTTGGTTTGTCACCGCTTGTTGGTGTCACCATGCTTGGCCTCTTGGACCTGGACACCTAAATCTCACTTCTGTCCGTATGCCTGGTGTTTCCTGGTGTATCAGAAAGGCATAGAAGTGCCTAGAAAACATGTGGCAAAGGCACGCAGATGGAGTGTAGACCCTCTAAATCACAGCTGTACCTCAACGCTGCACGCTACCTCCGCGTTGCGTGCACAGGCGACTTGGCAGCTCTCTTACGCAGAGAGTCTGCCATGAGAGGCTTTAAGGTCTATGAAAAAGATGAGGAGAAGAAGCTGAGCTGGAGGTCTGAAGAATAAAAGTAGTAAGCGGTACCTTTTTACAGCAGGGGAGGAAAAGCTATAGCAGTGGAGGATGGAAAAATGTTTGTCCTTTCGTAAGCAGCTATTGTGTGTCACTAACTGTAGGAAGCATAGATGGATATGAAAATGTCATTTTTCGTGCTGGTTGTTTTCTTCATTTTAAAAATTATGACTTAGTTTTAAAAACGGTTCAGAGCTCCAGAGGGTATAATGCCTAGCTGCGCTGTGTAATTGGCAGACTGTTCACATTTTATTTACTAGACAGTGTATTAACAGGAGAAAATAACTATGTTTTCTGCTTTACACGCTAGAACAATCACCATGTCTCGGTGTGACTTTACATCTCTTTAGATAACTTACGTATGTAAATATAAATCATGGATGATTTATTTTTGAATTTAACGTTGACATTCTATTTTTTAAGAAGGGCTATATTCAGTAACAAGATTAATGAGCTCAAAAGAGGATGAAAAGACTATTTGTGTTCAATTCATCCTCATATCCCAGGAAAGCAGACTTTGAAGTTTAGCTGACTTTTGTTCTAAAAATATCTGCCTAGGTCAATGACATACCTCCAGCAACATTTGGAAAGGGAGGGGTTTTTTGTTTTTTGTTTTTTTTGGTCTTGTCACATATGCCCAAATCACTGATTCTGGGACTTCGTCCCTCCAGTACTCTTGCTGCATCATTTGGCAAAATACAATTTTTTATTATGTATGCCCCAAATCACTGATTTGGGGACATTGTTCTCTAGAATAAATCAGTGAGAAATGTTAAGTTAAAGATTAAACTTGAAATAGTGTCATTTCTGTAAACAAAATGCATGTATGTGTAAATACAGTGAAGAAATAAATATGGTATTTAAAGCTATGTTAAAAGTACTTTTAAGGGGGTCATTTATCCACGTGGAGTTTTTACCATGCCTTCCTAAGCTCTAGGCATCTCTAAAAGTTTTCTCAATCCAAAGAGTTAAAACACTTGATAGAAAAAGTTTTGCTTCTCAAGATTGTTCTGCTGCACAGTGCACTTAATATCCTAGGTTACCTATTGCCTTGGAAGTGACTGCCCAATTGCAAGTCTTCAACTGCACTATGACAAACCTTACGTTTTAACAAGCCTTACCCAGACCTACGTCTAAGAGTGCCGAGATTGTTGACTTTCAAGGAAATATGTTATCTTTTCAAGGACTGCCTCGCTAAAAAATGTCGTATGAGCATCTTCTCGTGTTTATATCAGAGAGTTTCAACTTCGGTGTCTTCATTGATGAAGCATGCTGTGTTGCCCCAAAAGGGGGATGGGAGAAGTACATTTAAATTTAATTTTGGATGTATTGGCTGCTAATTGCACACCTTATTTTTCCTTTTAATCTTTTTTCTGGAGCTGGTCTGCATGTTTATGTCTTGGCAACAGTTTAAATCAAACACTCGCTCTGTGAGGGGACTGTAGGGCAAATATCTGAGTCTCAGAATAGTTTAGGTATTAGGCGTCTCTTCTCACTATTCCTTGAGTTTGAATAGCTCTCTCCCACAAGCATCCTGATGAATTGGTGGAGAAAAAAAAGAAAAAAAAAAAGAGAGATAAACATTTACAAAGTGGTATTAGGTTGCCAAAGCCAACTCAACTTTGGTGCTTTCTGATTTTGAGTATCCAGAGCTTGTCAATTTTTTATCATTAAAGAAAGCATTAGCTTTTTACTGTAATGCCATGAAGGGCATAGCAGTTTATTTAAAGAATCAAGTATGGAGGCATAACCTTGCTGGTCCAGTTGAGGGTCCCCAATTAAATGGGTGCCCTGTGAGCAGGGCACAGTTCACGGTGTTTGCAGGCAGCACAGTTCTTCTGTGTATTTACAGCAAAGGCTGTAACTCTTCTAACTTGACTCACCTGCTCCTACAGGGGGTAGGATCCTGCATGTTGTTGAGACAGACCTGAAATGGAGGTGTAGTAGCTTCCAAATAATAAGGCTATGTCTAAAGCATGTCTTTCTATTCAGGTTAATTACTATTACCAATTGTAATAATACATTTTTTCCTCTGTCTTGGAAACATGTGCTGCCTTTTTCAATGTGTTCTCTCTCAGTTGGGCATTACAATCTTGGACATCGTGGCTGATGTCTTGATATTATGCATGTAAATATTTCCACATCCTTTCATGCCTTGAAAACAAAGTCTGTCCTAGTAAGTTTTTCATTTGGCAAGGGACAAAACTGCAACTGGAATCAGTGCTTGCCATTTTCCCCATTTTAAGCACTTTCCTTTTCATTTGTGTTAAATGAGATCTGGAAAAATAAACGTTAAGAGTTCTGCATAGAATTTCCTGAAACTTTCTCTGCACATTAATCATGCCAGGACTAATTTAGTGGTGCCCTGAAGCTATTTGGAGACAGTATGAGGTTGTGATGAAGAATCTCAGACTCCAGAGTGGGGGTCAAGGCAGTGAGCACATTGCTGGCTATTTGCTTTCAGGGAAGACCCTGATGCTCAGGATTTCTCGTGTGCTGGCCTGCCTGGTGGTGCGTAGTGCCCTGGCTGATCCTCGCCCCCCTGGTACAGCTCGCGTGAATGGGCAGCTCTCAAGGTCAACTTGCCAAAGTGTGGATGATGCTGTTAATCCCTGGGCAGGGGAGGCTGCTGTGCTGGGCTTGGCATCAGCACAGAGGTGAATCCAACCTTCTGTACGTGTCCAAAGCTGGACAAAATCAACTGAAAGATCTAATAGCAGCAGGCTGTGTTTCTCCTTGGAGTGAACCCCCCCTCCCCCCGTGGATGCTTGGATGACCTCTCAGTGGATGACCCAATATTTCCGGGTAACCTTGAGGGTACCAAACCACAAGTCTCCTGGATGCTCAGGTAGTCTAGTGAGAATATTTGAGGAGGGTTTCTAGAAAGTCCAGCTTGATCTTAAAACGACAGCCTAGTACATAGATTACCATTGCCCTTCGCTGTCAGTGGGAGTGTTTATGTTAACGCGGCAGTCAGAGCAGGGGTGCGCTTGGGGAATGAATCCCCTGATCACCCCCCAGTTAGCACGCTCTATTTCACAGGCGAAGCAGCCCCGGAGCATCTGCCCGGGGTTGCTTTCAGATGACGTTAAGCCAAAGGATGCGCTCCGGGAGCCTGTAGTACTGCGCTGCTGGCGGGCATCCAGGCCACAGCACCAGCGTAAAGCTGAAGTGACACCCTCCAGACCATGTGTAATGCACGTGTGGGGTCCTCAGCATGAGCTGGTTCGCTCTGCAGATCCGCTTCTACCGGGCCGCGCTACATGCTAGACACAGCCAAAATCTTTGACATTCATGTAGTGCTTTCTTCAGAGCGTAGCACTGGTCAGGCTTGTTTGGTTACTTTTGGGAGGTGGAATCCAGCCTGTGCTCTATCGGGTGTTCAGCTGGGTTGGTTGCTTGTGGATCTGTAAACAGGGAGAGCTGCACTTTCAGAAAAATGACCAAGGGGAAACCTTTTGGTTGCGTCCCCCTCAGAGCAAGGTGGGATTTGATCATCTTCCCTTTTTACAATCTTAATTTGTCAAGTTCATTTTCCCGGCTGAAGGCACTTTAACAGCTTTGTGGAATTGTAGATGAGCACCGAAGCAAAAACAAAAGCACAAACAATAGTTTCTGACAAAAATGTTTAAAAAAAATTTTTTTTTGGCTACTTAAAATATGTTGCATGCTGAGTGGAGTTTTGTGGGAAAACTTTTTACTGTGTTTGAGGCTTCCCTCACAACAGGAAAATTTCTATCCTGAATTAGGTTAAAAACCAACAACAACAACCTCCATGATGTGAGTAAACAGAAATGTATTTTTTAATCAAATAAATTGAAACATCCTAAATTTCCAAATAGTTTGCTCTCAGTCATTCCATTTTGTTAAAAATCCAAATGAGATATCATTTTTAACCTAAAACTTGTATATTAACTGGAGAGCTTTACCAGCTTGGAAAATTTCTGTCACTTTTTTTTCTTTTTGAACAAAGAAATGATAGTCTTTCTCTGACAACTAGAAGGAAAGTTAGTCGATCAGTCTGTCTATAGTGTGGGTGTCACTATGCTGCCTGGTCCTAGACGAAACAAATAGTAAGTATTAGAACAGTTCTTCATCCTTGGCCTCCACAGAATTAAACTCCCTCTTTCAGGATGCTTTGTCTAGGTGAGGTTTGAGGGCTCTGAATATTTACCTGGTGTTTCTAGGTTGCTGGATAATAGGAATCCTGCATATGTCCACTGCGCGTGTCCTCGTGCGGATGAACTCGGCATGGGACCACAGTGCGTGGGATCCTTTCTGGGGACGAGTAAGCTACCTAGATGACTTATACAAGGGCAGATACACCTGAGTGCATGTATCTGCCTGGAAAGTTCTGGACAAAAATATGGCAATCCTATGAAATAGCAACTTTAAAAGGCATTGTTGGTGATCACCAGATTGTATGCTGCAGAATTCCAGCTCCATGAGTTAGGCAGGCTGGAAACATCCAGGAGGGACAAGGGAGAAAGGAAAATAATCCTCTAGGTTGCAGTATTTTGGATTAAATGCAAATTATTTAAAAAAAAAAAAAAGAAAAAGAAAAAAAAGAAAATAGCAATTTCAAGCCCGGAAAGAAACTTCAGCTGCTGGCTTTTGTGCACAGGATGATCACTTGCTCCTCCTACACGCCCTGGTCTTGTGACAAAAGCTCTAATTGGAGTTGAGCAATTTCTTCATTTGTGGTTTCTTGTTGGAGTGTAGTTTGGCATGGGTATGTAGATAGGGCCAGAATGGGGAAGGCAGAATGATCTGACCCAAGACATTTGAGGACCCACACCCCCAACATTTCTAGAATAACTTTCATTCTTGTTTTTATGTTGCTATGTATGGGGAGGCGAGTAAACTTTTTTTAAGTACAGTTGCGTAAAAAAGATTTAATAACTCTTATACCTGACTTAAATGACATTAAAAGCTAGTGAAAGTAGGTTTTTCCTTGCTATCATATCAAGGGAGTGTAAAAGAATAGTCCAGTATTGACTCTGTTTATCTTTCGTGTGCACACAGAGAGGGCAGTTGCAAATCACTGACTCTTAAGCTTTGCAGTAAGTATTTACACCAGCAAATTCCAACTTGTAGATCAATGATTCATCTGTTTGAAAGAGAGATATTTTTAGAGTTACTTTGTTCGCTCACAAGCACTGCTATTTCTCAGTTTATTAAGTTACTTTACGTTTACACATTTTACGCTGCAGGCTTTCTCAGAAAGTTCTGCAAACTGTGCTGTACTGAGGATGAGGAGAAACAAGTGTAGACAGATGATTTGGAGACTGTGATTTGGAAGTTAAAGGACTTACTCTTTCAATTAAAAGCAGTTTTTGAGGGCAGTGTCCTATATCCGCAGTGAGTTGTAGGCACTGTTAGCACCCATGGTTGTTTATGCCTTTGTGTGTATTTTTGTGTTCATGCTAATTCTCTTGAGGCAAAAAATTGTGGTCTGGAGTTGCCACAGCAACAATAACACTACACTCAGTGTATGTTTTTTTTGTATATTTTATAGCAGTATGTTGAAAGTGTAGGCATATTGCTCTGATACATTGTGAAATATGATAGACTACTAAGAGTGGAAACATTTGTTTGTTTTTTATTCAGAAAATGTATCTTTATTTTAGTGTTACTTTTAATACTACTTCTCTGCTGGGCACTGGTTCCTGATTGCAAGCCTGCAACTGAAGAGAAGGAAATGGGGTCAGAAGTTTGGGAAAAGAAGGTTTTAGAGAGGTTCTACTGATGCTAAACAAGAAATAAAATCAGGATTAGAACAAAGAATGGTCTGGGATAGAAGGCAAAGGAGGACATAATTATGTTTCTGTCCTGTTGTTGTTGCACAAGTTAATTGAAAGATAGCTATTAGCTGTTCTTCTTTGCTGTGAAACAAGAATGAAGATACAAACAGGATAAATAGAAAAAGTATAAGGTAGACTTCTTTCCTTAAATATATAAAAGCAAAGTGAGGGAATTGGCTGTTTACTTTAGAAATGTGACTGTTAAGAGGGGTCATGGTGAAAGCAGATAAGTGAGTGCATCTAGGCCTTCTTCCCTTCTATCCCCCAGTGCTTCTCCATGTGAAGAGAAAAATGTGGTAATATTGACAGGCTGCAGATTCAGGAGTGATTAGAATGAAGATCTCTCTCATGCAGTCCGTAACCGGACCGTGAATCTCATTTCAACAGGACGCTGCGAAGGCCAAGGACTTGGCCAGAGCTAGCGAGGACTTGGATGTTTATCCAAAAAAACATGACTATCCAGACTATAACACTTAATCGCTTAAAAGAGAAGGCTTTGGAAGTACATACTCCTTTGCCTGCTTCTTTCAGGGCCTGCCGAGGAGGCTGCTGGCGGTCGTGCCTCCCCGGCGTCCCTGGGGCTTGCGGGGCCAGGTGGCTGCTGGCGGTCCCACACGCGGCTCCTTCCTCCTGGGCGAGTGGGTCTGTCGGTGCTAGCCTCTGCTCCGCTCCGCGCGGCCCGGCTCTGTGCCAGATGCTTCGCTGGAGTTTCCTTCCGGGGGATAGGGTGGGAAGTGGCACATCTCCGTGTGGGTCAGTCAGCCTCTGGGAGGGCTCACCTGCCCGGCGTCCCACACGCAAAGAGCCCAACCTACGACAACCTGTCTATTAGTTATATATAAAATAACTGGCCCCTAATACGCTTCGTCATGTGTTTTTCTCTTAGTTGTCATCTTGTCTGCCCGACCTGCTTTTTTAACTGGTTACTTTATCCATAGGCTGAGTGTTTCCTCTGAGTTTGGTTCGTGCTGTGTCTCTTTAATGCTGTATCTGCATGCTGTCTTTGATGCGATATCGCAGGTGCCTGGTGTGGTCTTCCTTAGTCCTTTGAGAGGGTTCCGACATCTTGATCATTAGTCTGTTATCTAGCTTCATATCAGTCGTATGTTTTAAGCGTGCCAGTACCTCAGCTGCCTGACCGTTGAACTTCCTGTTTTTCAGGCCTATGTAGAGTGCTGCCAGGCTGTAAATTAGATGTATTTCAGGGCTCAAATAATTATTAGGAGGAAACTGATTCCATATCTGCATCGTCTTTTTTCCTTTCCCTGACACTTAAGTTTCTGAACATCATCACTGTTCAGGGCACCCTACCAGACCAGTTTAGGAGACAACCTGACTGGCAGGTCAGGAGTCAGATCTTTGCAATTGGTTCAGCTTTATTTTTGCAAGCACTGCACACACGTTGCCACTGGCTGGGGGGGGGCCAAGGGCCCATTTCTTTGCTGGAGGGTGGAAGTCTTGGCTCGCGCGCCGGAGAGGCCTTCAGCAGCCGGCGGGGACCCATGCTTCTGGTCCAAGCCCTCGTCTGGGCTGAAGCACGTGCTCCCCTTTGCTCAGGCGCCACGTGTTACCTTGTGACAGAAAGAAATAGAGATGGAAATAAATTTGGCAGGCCAGTTGTGCCAATCATGCAATGTCCTATTTCTTTTAAAGCATTTTTTTAATGGTATTTTTTTGGTATAAAGGGCTTATTTAAAGGGAAAACTAGTTATTTATGCAACTTAACAATTTTTGAATTTCTTTCCCCTAGCTGTGTTCATGTTCATGATGTATTTTGAGGAAAGGTAGTGTGGAGTTTGTGGAATTCTGTTGCTATGCTTTTTTTCTTGAACAATAAATTGGCTCTCACTAGGTAATGGAAGCATCAGTTAAATATTTCTAAAAACCATTGAAGAGGAAAAATCGAGGTTTATTCCTATGACCTAATGATTGCTGTCCTTTGTAAAGGAAAGCAATTAAAGTTTTTGCTATTGCTGGTAGCATGGGAAAAATAAAATACCACATTTAAGTAGTGTAAGAGTGTGTATATGTGTGTGCTTTCTTTCCTCATATGGCAGTTATCTTTGGAAAATTTCAACGTTGGTGTCCGAATTTCTATCACGCTACAAATAGAGGTATGGAGCTGTACTGGGAGGTATACAAACCAGGCAGCCCTGTTTTAAATGAAGCAGGGAAATAAAAAGAAAGTCTGTTTTCCTTAAACTTAGTAAAATGTAAGTTTCTCATTTCTTCTTAACTTTCCTTTTCTTTATTCTGATTCACCAACTGACACTTGCTCATGCTGCACGTTTTCCTGCTGGTTTTTGTTTTGTTTTGGTTGCCAAGTTTGAGAACTAGGAAACCCTTCTGGGGTGGGGGGACGAGGTAGCAAGCCTCTAGCATTCATTCAGGGCATGCTTTTTCAGAAAGATACCAGTGATTTCCAGATATTTAAATTCAGTGTCAGTTGAGATATTTGATTTATCGGAAGTCCTGAGTGCTTGCCGTCTCCAAATCGCTTGTTTTCAACTGTGTCTGAAGTCAAGCACCTACAATTAGGCATGCTCCAAAGTTCAGCTCCCAAAGGTATTTGCTGTAGGTGTAAGGTGCTTGTAATACTGGCACAACTGAACAGCCAGCTACACTCCTGTCATTCTTGTATGGTTTGAGATCCAAAATAAATGATTGCAGAGTTTGAGCATGCTGCACTTTCTAAGCAGAAGTAGGGAGAGAAAAAAGCCAAAATAGGATATCATAGCGGCTTCTCTTCCTGCCGCAGTACTGCAGAGGTTAAAAACTAAGTCTGCAGCCCCCATGAATGAAGGTTAGACAAACATATTAAACATCATGGGGCAATAATTTTACTGTTGAACTGTAGAACAATGGGGAAGAGCAATATTTTATGAGTGTGAAATCTCATGACTGTGAAAGCAAATGTCTTGCTTTGTGTCTGCTTGTGCAGACACAAGGGCTGCAGGTAACTGCAGAATGTAAAGTTTTCATTGTTTACCGAAACAAAGAAAGTGAGTTGCTAACTGTTATGTTTGCAAAGATAATTGCCTAAATATGAACTGGACATGTGACTGCACGGTCAAATAAATGGCTCCAGCTAGAGGGTACTACTGCAAAAGGTGGTTTCTGCTTGTGTTCCCTCTCCTGGCATCATGTTCCTGTTTCCTCCCTTGTGAAAAAATATCAGTTGTGCAGCTGCACATGTTGATTTGGCTGAAAATTAACCCTACAAATAAAAAGGTCGACTTGCAGTCGATTTGCAGTCGCTTTAGCTCTAAAATCTTCCTGGGCTAAAGGGGGTGGGGAAGAAGGGAACCTGTAGGCAGTGGCACTGAAGGAAGGTGGAAAACTCATTGCCTTCTTGTGAGTATAGAGCTGGGCTTCATGGCAGACTTTTCCCTGGCCCTTACTGGTGGCTTCCCAAAACCTTTGTGTATCTTCTTTTCCCTGCAAAGGAGAATTCATATGGAAAGGTAGTAGTACCTCTTTTAGTAAATGCTGTGCCCTTTGGTGGTGGAAAGGGCATGGTCATGGTGGCACCTTGCGGTGAGTGCCCCATATTTTGCTAGGTGGGAGTATGGGCAGAAGGATGTAGATCTTCACCTGTCTGTGCCCATGGACCCTGAAGTGGTTTTTAAGCGCATCTGAAAACATTTTCTTCAGTGTTTGATAGAGTTCTCCTCTTCCTCTGTTAGTGCTGTTACTGAGTGTTTTGGAGATGCAAAGCTACTTAAACAGGGAAGAGGACAGGAAGAACTGAGGTTTGCAGTGCCTTTTGCTTGCAGAAGCAGGAAACTGTGTTTGACTACACCCATTAGACAGGAACGTTGTTAACCTAAAATTCTTGTGCTATAGATGCTAGTAATTTTTTTTTTTTTTTAAAGAAGTGCTTCATGATTGGCACTCAGTTTTTTTCTGTTCTACTTCAAGCGCTTGAAGTGGGCTTGTTTTATTGCAGAATACCTTCTTGTGAAAGATTATGCCATTTTTAGGTGTCTTTAAGTGGTAATCCAAAAAGTGGAGTACCATAAAAATGTCACCTCTTACACCTAAATGGAAGTCCTATTTCATAGTCTGAAGTTTCCTTTTCTGTTAATGCATGTAGTATGGGTCCTTTTTATTTTCATCAGTCTACAGCAGACCTTTCTATATCTAAGCTTATCCATCTAGATTTCTTTTTTAGTCAGTAGAAAGACATGTTTTTGACATGTTTCTTAGGATTAGATGAACTGCAGCCTAGGATTGCCCTTTTTTCCACCCCGTTGATGATAAAAGGAATATAGATAGACTAGCTCAGATATCAACATCATCGTTTGGATAGATAAATTCTATCCCTATCTTGAGCAAAGCCCTTTTGTGCTGTTTTAAAGCATATCCTGATAAACTAAATTCAGTGCTCTTGTTTTAGAGTGCCCTGGCACTGAGAGCATCATTTTAGTGTTTAATGCATGATGTTCCAGATTTTAGATGTGCAAGGACCTAAAAAATTCTTGTATATTACCATTGCCATGTTTGAAAGATTTAGTCTTTGATCAAGTCACTTTATTCAGAGGATGATGTGCTTAAATTTAACACAGGGGTGACAGTTTCTACAGAGTGTGTGTGTGTGTGTGTGAACAACTTTCTTTTGGTTTATAGTAACTGGTAAAGTTGGCACTTTCTTTTCTCTATTGATGTTTGTTCCTTTACTGGCTGCTATCATAGGGATAACAGTGAACAAAACTGCTCTGTTTGTATTGGTGTGTATTTTTAAAGACCGCAAACACATTTTTCTATAGAAAAGGAACTGAAAACAGAATTGCACAGACATTGCAATAAGAATAATGGGGCAAGTTATTTTAGACTTGCCAGTTCCCGTTCTAGTGAAGGATTGCAGGGTGTAATTGCTAGAGCAGGTAGCACTTGAGGTTTGGAAACTGGAGCTAGATCACGCCTGATCCAACCTGTCCCTGCACATGGAGCCTGCTTTCTTTCTCTTGCGGACCGGTGCCTGTAGCAGATGAGGTGGTAGTACTGGAGGAGCAGGGGCTAAGCGAGTCTTTGGAGAGGTCCCATGAAAACAACAGTTTGGGTTTGGGTGTGTTTATCAGCTATGAAAAAACTATTTGGGAGCAATAGCTGTTATCCAGGAAATCATTTCTAGGAAAGGGATGGGTGACTGGTCCATTTAATGGCACAAGATATGCTGTGAAACTTGAGGCTTCAGGCAGGAGCCTGAGCCCTGCAGGAGGTGAAGCAAGGGGGAGCAGCGCTGTGGTGGTGGTATCCCTGCCTTGGGAGATCGCTGGGGCGCCAGGGACTTTCAGAGAAGTCTTTGCAGGCACTGACCCCTCTGCTTTGGTGTGTTTTACTCTTCTGGACTTATTCTCCTTGTTTCTGTGCATTTCTTCTTCAGCGTTTCTCTCCTACCTTTAAGTATACTTAGATCAAGTCTCCAAGTGGGTCCACTTCAAGAAGAGCTGGAGTGAAGTGAAAATGTGCTGGTAAGGTAGATATGTTCCCTTGGCATCCGTATAAATCTGATGCTTAAGCAAAGAGGGTAGGACATAAAAGATGCCATCTTTCCAGTGAGAAGTAAGTTCAAGATCCCAGTGACTTCTGGATTATTATTATTATTTTTTTTTTTGGTAAAAGCAGGGGTGATAGTCCTAATTCTTTTCACTGTCAAAATTCCTGTTTGAATAACTACATTTCACTCTTCTCTTCCTTTGTTCATTAAAATATCCTCCATATCTTGACCTGTTCACTGTAGTTCTGCTTTCAGATAACTGCCATATTGTAGCATGAGATGCAGTAGCTGCACAGAGGTATGTGAAGTTATTCTGAAGCCCCCTTGGATGAAAGGTGCTATAATTAGTGTGCTACCTCACCGCTGTACAGTCTGGAGAAATGAGGCAGCTCTCATACCAAATGAAAGGCATTCTGCTTTAAAAATATCCTGAATGACTGAAGGATCCAGCTTGTCTGATTTTTACTTCTTTTATAGGTAGTGTTTACTGTTGACTATCCCAGGTACAAAGGAATTTCATCATGCTGTGTTTTGGTATTACTCTCTCACTGGGAGAACAGTAATGACTGGGTTACGGGTAGTGGCAGAACATCACTGCACATAAATGATCACTACTTAAACATCTGTTCAACGTACAGAGCAGTTACAGTTCAATGTAAGAGTTGACAGCAAGCTAAAGCTTTGTTTGGATCGGGTCCCTGTGTTAAATTTATCAGCCGTCAAAGGTATGGGTGTGTAACTTCGCATTATGTTGTAGAATTGACTTTTCAAGCTTGCTTTTTACTTAAGTGTTTTCCTTTTTAAACTTTTGATGACTCAGGGTTTAATCTGTTCTACAGCTATATTTGTGTGTCCTGATAGTGATTATTCTGCTAGTGGCTTCATAGAGGTAATCCAGAAAGAACATCTGTTTCAAGTTTATAGTCTAAATCATGGAAGGATATTTGACCCTGTAAGTAGGGAAACAGCAGAATTTACCCATGAAAACAACACAACAGGCCAAAGTACTGTCAAGTTGGCAAATTCTGCTTTACCAACTCCACATTCAGGACAACAGCAACTAACCAAGCCAGGGCTATGAGAACTTAGTTGTGTTTCTGAAGAGGAAAATCATCTTAAATTAGTCATGTGTATACTCCTCTCTCGTAAGAGTATTTCTCAGAGTTCTGTTCTCAAATCTTTGTGTTTGCCCCCTCAAAACCTTTCACAGAACTCCTAAAACACAAGTTCAGAGAAATGAGTTGTTTCAGTATAATGATGGGGGAGATTTGGCTTTCCATCACTGTTTCTCTAATTTAAGTGAATTTGTCTCCTGTCTGATCCATGCTGTTGGCAATTCACAGTGCCTGGATGTAAACAGAAAATAGAGCATTTCGCAAGTTGCAGTTTATTCTGATTTCTTCTCAAATACTTATTTGTGCTGGTTCTTGGTGAGTGAGTTCTGTGCAAGGAGATATCACTATAGGCTGTAAGGGGAGCTACACAGGTGAATGTTACAATTATTAATTTCCTTCATGGAAGCCTAAGTCAAAATTCTGCTAACAGTGGGAAACTTCACATGATTTCTGGGATGATCTCCCTACTTTTTAGAGTGTTTGTCACCTCCCTGCATAG